AGTTCAATTCATAAATGGAATTGTGTTATTAGCTTTTTAAGTGAGAGTGTCTCACAGTTTCAAAGGAAGCATTGTTAACGAGTAAGTTTTCTTAGATCTGGATTTAGTAAAAGACTTTTACCAAAAAAAAAATAAACATATAAATAAATTAAAATAAAAAAATAAAAAAAATATATATTATTTATATTTCTCCTCCTTTCAAATGATTTTGAGAACAGCTTGAGAGCAACCTATCTGCATGCCGATTCCGCTGCCCATTTAGTGGCCCACTCCGCCGGGCATGTTAACCTTTGGCAAATGCCCAAAACCGTATCCCGCCTCCTCCTACCTACCACCGCCTACCTCCCATGGCCCACCGCCCATTTTGCCACGCAAAGAGTTCACTGTCCATTACATAAATATTTTATTTCAATAAAACGTGAGCAGTTTTTATGAATTTCATCGACATTTCATGCACTCTGGTGCACGAATTTTGCACTTTACTGTCGCTTAGTGGCATCGTTCGTGTTTGGTTAGTGTTATGCGAGCAGTTTTGCCCATCCGGCGCTTAAAGGGTTAAAGCCAGCTGCGGGTGTGAGTGTGATCGTGCCTCTGCTGGCCATGGGGACTCGGTGTGTCCGTTGCCGTGTCCGCTGATGTATGAAACGTTTGATTGAATTGACAGCACACACACACACACTGCTCTTGCTCTGCAGCCTCCTCTGCATCCACATCCTTTTTGCCCCCAGGGCCGTGGGCCAATCGAGCGCGTATCGAAAGCGAACTCCACGCTCCAAGGACCTCTGCTCTTGGCCATAAAAAACAAGATGTCATAAATTTTCAACGCATTTCTGTTTGTTTTCCACGGCGTTTTCCCCTGCTCGTTTCACGTTTTAAGCGTTGCGTGTGCATTTTGCGGCCGCCCTTGTTTTTTATGCACATTAAGATAATTGGAAAACTCATAAGGCCCAATGAGCATCACGGCCACCTTGGCGGATTGAGCTAGTCACTGTTAACGCGGCCCAAAAACATTAATCTCCGCTTGCCACTAAGAAGGGGAAGTGCCCAATGATTACGGGACCGCCCCCCGACAAACAAACAAAACTGGGGGAAAATTGAAAAAATTTTAATCTCTGTCGCGAAGCGGAAACACGCGGCTCAGTGGTGCCGTTTTGATTTCAGAAAAGACTATCAACAATAAATCTGGCTATTTTTTGTTAAGGATTTATTCATTAAAAAGTTATAAAATTAATTCAAAATTAAACCCTACTTTAAATTTAATTTGCCAACGAGAAAACGGGCCTTAATCTTTTAGCAACGTTTAAGATAAAATTGCTGCCTACTTTTAGGCTCACTCATTCATAGGGATGTTCGATCAAACATGTTGGATCCCTTGTTATTTTTATTCCGTGCAATTTCTCATTAAACTACAAATTATTTTAAATTTATAAAAACCCAAAATTAAGCTTATTTCTAAATATTTTCCTTAGTTTTTTATGATTTTTTTTGTGTTTCTGCAGATTATGGTGGCAACACTGGCGTTGACAGTCGCTTGTCGACGCTTTTCTCGTGACTGCCCACCATTGATGTATAGCTTAAGCGCAAGTTTTTCGGCCAAGGGTGGCCGGGGGTTAAGGGCCAAGGACTAAGCACCAAGGACACGCCAGCGGGCGGCTAACAAGCCAACAGCATGAAACAAATTGAAATGAGGCGTACGGAACTGTCAGCTCTGGTCCTTCCCCCAAAAAGTGAATTTAATAGCCCAGCATATTTAAATCGTAAAAATGCGATAGCCAACGCCAGCGCGAAGCCAAACAAACTTTTTACAAATTAGCTCGAATTTATTTAAATTCTGCTGCCTGCGCTCAAGCAGGACAAAAAATGTGTGCCGGGAAAATAGCACATTTTACGGTTGTACACAGTACATACATATTTAAAAAACATAGGATAAAATTTAAGGGAATTGAATGCATTAAATACTTTGGGTAAACTGTCAAAGTTTTTCTATAAATAAAATTACTCAGAGTATTACAAAATATCATTATTAATTTGTTAATGTTAACTTAAATTTGGGAAAGGTAAAGTGTTTTATGTAATTCATAAATCATAAAATGTAAATTTAAAGCTTGAACGACGTTCAGTTAAAATCTAAGCGCCATTCAATATCCTTATGTGGCTTTGCGATTATCTCTTTTTGCAGGGTTTCATTACAATTACGGTTGTTGGCTGAGCTGCTGACTGAAAAAATTCGCATAAACCGAAGCCAAATATCATTCGCATCTGCTGAAAGCTGCTCGCAAAATGGAAAATGTTTGCCAAACGCCGCCATGTCGCGTTTTATGCGCTTGCTTTTGTGGCACTTTGCCCTCGCCGAAAGCCGAAAGGCAGATGAGGCAGCATTTTTAATGGTGCAACACCCAGTGCCACCCACACGCACCACTCAGCCACCCACTGAATGCAGCACTTTTTCGCACACTCGCGATAATTGCAGCCACAGCAGCAGAAGCGACACGAAAACTGTTGCAATGCAATTAGGAGCTGGCCGGAATTTATTTTTTGCTGATGTCTCGCACTTCCGCTCCTCGAAATGCCATCGGAAGGACCCGCGCATTATCCTTATTAGTTTCGTGCTCCATTGCGCCAACTTTTCGGGCATCATTGACACTGTTTTGGCCATGGCCATTACGCTTATGATTATGGGGAATCGTTGCGACCGGCTGACGACTAACGGCTGACGGCCAACCGACATTTGCTGACCATTTCGGCAGAAATCTCATTTCAAATTCTATCTAATAATTAACATGGCCATAAAAAGCCAACCACAGCCAACCTGCACCGCCCCCGCCCATCTGTTCATTCATTATGTAAACTGTCTCGCTGGCATTTAAACTTTGAACAAAAAAAGTACTCAACATGACGGCAGGACGACAACAACAAGCCGCTTTTATTTTTATTCCCAGGCCAAGGAAAACAAAAACAACCTGTCGCCAAGCGAGGGGAAACTCATTTAAGCCAAACAAACATTTGTAGTCTTAATTTTCGTGGCTCATCATAAACTTGGTTACATTTCCAGCCCCCAAAACGCCCCCAATTCCCAGGCCCGCCCCGTAATGGTCCTCACTTTGTTGATGATTTTCATTAAATTCTTACGCCTTTTCTCCACATTGTTGTTGCTGCTCCTGCTGATGGTGATGCTGTGCTCGAAGGATATACACGCACACACACTTTGCGGCGGGAGTTTCATTTGCCTGCCTTAAAAATCCGGCTCAGCGCTCGCTTGTTCCTGCACGGAGAAAAATAATAAAATTTTTCTATTTTTTCAAATTTGAATTTGTGTTTCTTAAAAATACTTTAAGGATCATAAAAATATTTATAAATTAAAATACATTTCGTATAAGAGACATAAAAGTCAAAGAATGTATTAAAATTGTCTGAATGGTTTAAATGTATGTTTGCAACATTCGTTAATATAATGAATTTATTTTTATGATTTGTAGATAATGCACTTCAATACATCGATTTTAAGAAATTACAAAATATATATTAAATAATATTTTTAATTTTGGTAACTAATCCCTAAATTGATTCTCTCAGTGCTTTTCCCCGTTACTGTCTGCCTGCAGTTAACTTTGTGTTTTTATCGTTATTTGTGTTGAACACGCATACTTAACACCATCGCACGCACACACCCGCACTCTCACACACACATTCGCAGAGAGATATAGAAGCCTTCTCCAGGAGAGCAGCACCGGGCGCAATATGGCTGAATTCTCATCAAAATTTTATGCTGAAATTAACAAATCTGTTTACAAATTTATTAAAACGCAGCTCGGCTCGCTCATTTTCAGGGTGGCTGGGGGGTGGGTGATGGCAGTATGCTCACAATGCGCCCATTTTGTCGTCATCGTCACCATCATCCGTGTCAACCCTCCTGCGGCGAGATACCCCTTTCACCAGATCATCGAAATCGAATAGCTAATGTCGAAAGTGGCGCAGCAATGCCGCCGTTGTTTGATCTGTTGACAGTTTGATGTGTCCGCCAATTTTTCCATAATGGAACCTATTGACCGACGACAAACAAAGGGCCCGAATCGCCCACACATAACGACAATTATTCAATATGCAAACATGCAAACGGTAGCGATTAACATATTATAACTCATACAGAAGGAGCAAACAATAGCCGGCCAAACACCCACACACAAAAGGTGTTAGAATACAAATGGACTGTGTGTGGGTGGGGATGTGCGTTAGTCAGCAGCGTTTTGCATAATTCCCGAAATTTCCATAAACACAAACGGCGAGAAATTCATAGTTCAAACAGTTACCGTGTCGCCGAACCGATTTGCATACGGACTCAGACTCAAATTCAAACTCAGTGTGCCAAGATGTAGGACGGGATTTTGGATTTGGTTTTGCTTTCGGTTTTGGATTTGGTTTTGAATTTGAATTTAGATTTGCATTTCCGCATGAATTAGCTGGCCAATAAGTAGCGTGAGGTTTCCCTGACTCATTCTGAGATTAGGTGGGTTCTGTGGGAATGTAAACAAAGAAGAACTCGCGGCGGGCTTAGTAATAGGAAAACCCGAAAGACCGTGGCGATGTTTACTTACTCGTACCATTGCCATAATGAAACACAAGGCTTGAATCATCGGTATATGGTGCCAAATTTGCGGATTATTAGGCGCTAATTTAAGAACTTTGGGCCAATTAAGAGGGGAAATTATGCTGGGGACTAATTAACAACTGACTTGCCTACTCGATAAAACCAGACTGAGATTTAGTACGTTTAATTTGAATTCTTCAGTTCTATTGACCTAAATACTTTCATTTATTATTTTTTTATTTATTAAACAAAAAACCTCCTAACGAGGTTGTGATTTTAACTTTTGCAACGAATTTTTATTATGCGATCTACTAAATAAATATCCTAACTTCCGGTGCGATTCGTCACTACATATACTGCCGTGGGTAATTGGGCTTTCGGGTGTACTATATTTCTACAATTTAATTTTATTATATTAGTTACTAGTGTGTCCACTTCTGTGCGCCATCAGTGTAAAGAAGGAATATGCTCCCTTCCAACAAGCCACAAACGTACTCAAATGGATGGGCACCAGGTTTCCGGCGAGGAGGACCTGCCTCCGCTTGGTGCGCTCCTCGATGATCAGCATAAATCCGCGATAGGTGGCACTCTGATCCACCCAATTGCTGCAGAAAACGGCGTAGTGGAGCTCCGCAAAGCTCTCCTCCACCCTGGTGCCATAGTAACACAATGGATATATTTGCAAGGTGAGGCCAACCAGTAAGCTCATGTAGAAGATACGCTCCGATAAGGTCTGGACATAAAATATCAGGGCAAACGAGGTCACTGCAATATCAATGCCAATCACCAAGAACTGCACTATTACGGGATACGATGTTAGGCTGTGGACCAAGTCGAGTAATCTGAGATGAAAAGTATAAAAATTATATTACAGTAGTAAATAAATAGATGGTACAAGTTCAGATAGAGGTATTACCTGTAGAGCGTGTTTTGGTCCTCGATGCAGTCGACAAGGTCCTGTTCATTTTCTTTCAGAGTATTAGAACCATATCCAATGCTGGATATCCTTAGGGTCAGCAATTGACATTGCTCGCAGACCAAGAACAAGGCTAAGGCAGCAAAGGAGTCCCCGGCAAAGTTTTGCAAAATTTGAATAAAGATTCCGAAAGTCTGGAAGACCAAAGCGCCAATATAGGCTGTCATGGAGTTCTTCCAGTCAAAGGGAATCCACATGGGCATCGACAAGCTGCGTTCACTTTCAAAAGCAAAAGACACCGAAGCGTTGATGAAGATGATGACAAAAGTGGCCAGGAAAATCTTCGACATCCTTTGCAGATGATTGCACATTTTCCTATGTCGAAGCACCTGATCGTCACCCGAAACCCGGGCATCCAGCTTGGCGATAGTCCTCTGAATGTCAACCACTTTAGTCAGTTGGGACACGTACATGGTTAACTTTACAAGATTGGCCACCGATGTGATCGTCAGAAATAGGTTGAAGTTATTTTCCATCGGATCATCGAAGCTGAACATAGCTTTCATGAACATAGGAATCTGCAGATATGCACAAATGTTTAATGCCATCGCCCAGCTCCAGAATTTTCCCTCGGCGAGTTCTATTGCTCCACCGATCCGCCAGGCGAGCAATTGGTCCCGAAAGTAGTCCTGCCTGAGTGACTTGCTAAGTTTCATCCTGTCCCGTTCTTGTCCTTCACTGATTGACTTCTGGCAATCGGTTGGCTATTTTATAGCACAATTTAGCCACCTGTTTTTAGCTGGCCAATTAAATCATTATCTAGGGTAGAAGTTCGAATGCAATTTTAGCCTCTATAGACACATATGTATACTGGGAAAATGAACACCCTGGCAAAGATATTCTCTACTGCCCATATAAAAAAATCTATTTTCCTTAAGCTCGGGTATCTCTACAGTTTTAAGAGAAAGAATATTAAAACCTAAAAAATAGTGTACAAATTAAAATAGGTCTATCTCGGGAATGGCTTTATACGTTTTTAGATGATGGCTAGATCGACTCGCCTAGTGATCCTGATTTAGAATATATATACTTTAAAAGGTCGGAAACGCTTTTCTTCCTGTTACATACTTTCTCACGAATACAATATACCCTTTTACTCTACGAGCAAAGCGTTTAATGAAGGAAGGATGTTCTTTTTCCCAGGATATTTGGCTATACTTGTAAAAATTACATTCAAAATTCTACCCTAAGATAATGATTTAATTGGCAAGTTTAAAATACGTGGCAGTTGAATATTGCTAGAAAATAGGCAACCGATTGCCAGAACTCAATTAATGAAAGAAAAAACTGGACTTCTTCCTAACCAATTACTGGGCTGGCGGGATTAAACATATGTTCGTATGTGTTTTAACAAAATAATTTTTTTTTCTTTTATTGTATATCCTCAATTTAATGTTTTCCAAATGATTTTGTCTCCACTCAAATAGTAGCTTTTAGGATTCTTTTTGGGGGAGAAGAATCAAAAAATTACATTTTGAGGACTTTTACCAGTTTGCCTAAAAGTAATCTGATTCAAATTTATAGAATCTTTGTGTAATTAGTGATTAAAGCAGGTATTTAATGTGGGATTTCCTGTTTGTTGACCCTTTTTAAGGGTCTGCGACATTGATCAACATTTTCAGAGGGCCCTATAAAAAATGGAATCTTTCAATCTTGCCATTGTCCATTCAAGTAATCCGTTTTTGCATTCGAGATCCTTCAGTAAAATCCCTACTACATCCGTGCAATTTGAATGGGAAGTCTTTAAGCCAAGCGGCTTAAGCATTTAATCAGTTAATTGTTGGCAACGGCGATACGCATGGGTGTGATTTTTCAATTAACAGCGCCATTTACACAGTATTACCATTCCAGGGGGCCCACGCATCACCCACCCCCCTTTCCCCATTCCCCCACAGTTACGCCTGCCCACGCACACAGACGAACGTTGGAATGCCGGAGAAACAAGAGCAAGAACAAAAATTGCCGTTATCACGCCACAATAACCTCAAAATTTATTCACTTTATTGATAATGCAATAAATCGCAGCCGAGTGGCCAGTGCAAGTGTGTGGGTGCATGAGCGAGCGCACTGGTGTGGGTGTGCATCTGGATCTGCATCTGAATGTGTAAGTGTATGTCCGTGTGCGTTGGGGCCTCTCTGTGAACTGGCAATTTTTTCGTAGCATATTTTCGGGCTGGCGCATATTTTTCATGTTTGCATATTTCATTTCAATTTTATTTCTTGCTGCACCCTCGCACACACGTACGCGTGTGTATTTACGGGCAGTGTAAAATATGCCATGAAAATCAACAAAAATTCGCACACAGAGCACACGTGAGTGGTTCCTGCCCCTCCTTTATTCGCCGCCTCCCTCTCCACCCACACATCTCGCTCTCTTTCTCGTACTCCGCTCTGCATCGCAATTGTATCTCGAATTTACAGTTTTTGTCTTTAGAAATGTTGTGGGAGCAGGACATTTCGTTGGGCGGCGCTCGATAAAGGACCGCCCGCCACAAAGGACAGCTTCAATATTTTCGTTTCATTTCATGAGCCTGCATGTTGGCGACAATGTGTTGATAAGACAACAGCAGCTCGATGGGAAAGAGAGGGGTGGGGTGAGAGGGAAAGGGACGGCATGCACGGTGAAAATACCATCAAAATGGGTCATCAATTCGAGATATTTTGATAAATTAAGCCCTTCTGGAGACTCAAAGTATTTTTAAATACACTTTGTATACCATTAAAAAAATAAATGAATGATGTCTAAAAGTATTCTATCAAATCTATACACATTTGCATCGTTGCATTCTTTTAGGCACCTTAAGAAGAGATTTCAAATCATTTTCATTTTCAAATCGGTTTTTAAGATGATAAAGAAGTTTGTTATTATAATTGTTATTAAAAAAACCTTTTATTCAACCGGAAACGTATAATTTCAGACGAAAATATTTACCTTTGAGTTCAACAAAGATTCCGGTTTGATGTAATATGTTTACTTTGTTTCCTTTTACATTTGAAAAAAAAAGTTTATATTTCTCTCAGTGCACCTTACATGGTCCGTTACAATTTCCATTTGCACTTTCGCGAGCCAAAAACTGCAGCTCTATGTAAAGCACTTTGGCATGCATTTTCACACCCCTGTTGACCATGACAAATTGGCTTGCATTCGTGTGTCCGAGTTTTCCCTTTTTGCTTATTAGCCATCAATGCGAGGTGGCTTTAAGGGCTTTAAGCCCGAATCGCAGCGGCATCTTATCTTGGTCAACTGGTCGCCCCAGCTGCACGCTATTCGCACTTCCGGTTACACTCCATTTAGGGCACCATATTGCCGGGTGTTGGTGCTGGCACTTTTGCGCATATTTTGCAAAATCATTACTTAAACACCCAGACATGCTGAGCGAGCGAGAAGGAGGCAGGGAGATAGAGGGAGACAGGGAGAGCGAAACTGGCCAGTCCAGTGGAACGCTGCCCTTTTCCTTCTGCTCGCTCAGTGTGTTTTCCTTGTTTTTCCTGCTTTTTCCTCGCTCTGTCCTTCGCCTCGTTTGCTTTTGGGGGTTTTAAAATGCATTTTCGTTATTTTCACTGCAGCTGCGACGCGTTGCCAGTTGCTGGCTGTCGTCGATCTTTTGCCACTCACAGCATTTAGCCTTAGCCACCTCAGGAGGTCCTGGCCAGCCTCCTTCTACCACCCACCAGCAGTTTAGTTTGGCGTTAATTTATGAGCAACATTTAGCAGTTTGTACCTGGGAAAGCCGCTGCAAGCCATTCCAAGGGAACTTTGCTTTATGGCTTGTTGTTTGCCACCTGAAAAAAGGAACTACTGATAGGTGGGTAGAAATTAAAACGAACCCAACGACCCTTAGATGCCCTAGAATGAGGGAACTTCTTTTGAAGGTGGATTGTAAATGTTAAAGAGGCAAATTATCCTATTTCAGCAAGTCAAATCTCAAGGAAAGTATATCTGTAGATTGCGGTTTTTTATGTGCATCGTTATAAATGGTATAATTGTATAGGGCTTTAATTCTGAATTAATTCTAAAGTTGGGTAAATAATTAGTTCAATAGTTTCTACGTTTTGGTACTAATTTTTCAAGTAATTTTTTTTGGCAACCATTAAAGGGCTACCCACAGCAGGTGCTAACACGCTAATCCAGCCATAAAGAGACTCCCCCAAACCAATCACCAATATTAACCGTTGGGATTGGGCATGTGCCTGATTGGCTCATTTTACAATTTACACCAGAAGCGATTGGAGTGGGTGAGTGGAGAGTGATGCTCGGGGAGCGGGTGCTGCTAAATGAGCCATGATCGCTGGAAGAATGTGCTGGCCGTCAATTAGCGGGCTTCCAAATCTAGCACCTTGTCGAAGTGAAAGGCAGCCGGGGAAAGGGGCTTCTGCTTCTGTGAGCTCCCGACGCGGTTCGATTCCCAGCTCTCAAAGCTGCCAATGGCGCATTTTATACATTTCTATTTGTTTGCCGCTCTTCTCTTGTGGCATTATAAGTAGGGGCCTCGGGGTATTGGCACCCCATCGGGCCCCGGAGCTCTTGACTTTAATCACACTAATTACGCAACTAAAAGGATAATCGTGTCGCTGACCGCACAAGCTCCTTAATGCGTTTCTCCAACTTTTTGCGAGTGCGTTTGATTGTGGGTGCCCCGACCCCTAAATTGTCATAATCCCCTCGATTTGACAAGCTCATTAACTGAATACCAAACGCAGGTTTAAAGACATTCGAGTTTATTAAATTCTAGGCAAGAAACTATCCCAGCTTATTGGGAAAGCACATGAGTTGTTAGAGGAGCGAGTTCCTTAGACGGTAGGTCATACTGAAGCCCGTCTCCAGTTCCCGATTTAAAGTGAGCTCATCGCTGGAGAAGTGCATCAAATAGGGCGGCGAGGCTGCAAGATGGGAAGCCACATATCACATATCAAGCGGTTTTTTCCCCCCAAAACTCCAACCACTCACCGTAAACCAGCAGGTTGTCGTTGGTGCCGCAGTAGTAGGTGGGCTGGTAGGCCATGTTCTTGGCCAGAATGCCCTGCGGTATCATCAAATAGTCCTCCTGCCTGCCGGCCGTGTGGACAGTGGCATGGCAGAACTCGTCGTAACCCTCGCCAGTGTCCGCCTGCACCGACATCGAGAACTTGCTGAAGGAGTATCTGTTGAGAAGTAGGCATTTAATTAGGGCGATTTAAATTTAAATAAATCACTAACAAAAGAGATGCCTATTTAAAACTGAATAAAATATGAAACGATCATCCTAGGAAAAAAAGGGGCTAACATGTCATTATATTCAGTAGATAGTAAGGAAACTTAAAACTTTTGCAACTTAATTTAAAATAATGAACACATGCCGTAGGGCATGAAATTGAAGTAAAGACAAAAAACCTGTTTAAAATGGAATAACGAAAGGGCTTAACATATCATTATATTCAGTAGATGACAAGAAAACTTAAAACCCTGAGCAAATATTTTCTAAATACATTCCAGTAAACTATAATTTTCATAAACTTTTTAGAGGCTTCCTTAGGAAACTAGATCCATTTAAATTGCTTTTTTAATGAACTTTACTCACTCAATCATGCTGGCGCTGGTCGCTGACTTGATGCATATGTTGTAGCTCAAATCGGGCATATAGTTGCTGGTCACCGAAGTCTGGAAGTTGAAGCTGCGAATGGTGCCCGATGAGTCCGTGTAGTACTGTTGGCAGCCCGGCGGAGCCAGCAGCTCGTAATCGGCGTGATGTGTGGCAAAGATGTCGCGCAGATCCTGCAGCGAGTTGGTGGAGGTACCCAAGCCGGCAGAAGTGCTTGAACGCCGCCGGCTACTCGGCGGTGGTCCCTCCAGCTGGGTGACAATCAACCTCCAGGCAGGTGCAGTTCCTCTGGAGGTCACCACAAAGGTGAGGGTCAGTTGATCAACACCTGCGCCAGCATTGAAGGGCAGATACAGGTGCTGGCCATCGTTCACGCCACACAACTTGAAGCCGCCCGCCTCGAAGTAGTCCTGGCACTCCAGAACTCCATCCGTGTCGGTGGGCTGTTGCATCACAAACTGCTCGAAGTCAATTCTCAATTGCTGCACATTGCTGCTAAATGCCTCGATAGTGTAGGTACTCAAATCGCTGGCTATTGTGACAGGATTCTTGATTATAGTCCGCTTTTGGCGAGTAGAAGCCCCCACTTGAAGGTTTGCTAAAAAATAAGAGATCCTTTTAGTTAAACTCTTGACTGGCTTGATTTAATTTTAAAATATTTAAATCAAGGTAGATAATATTACCTATCATAAGAAGTTGATCATGTTTAAATCTTAAATTAATTTTAACTATTTAATTTTGTTTTTTATTCTTTAAAATTAATTATACCCTTAACAAAAAGAACGAAAATCAAAGCGATAAATATTTAAACTAATTATACAATCTATTGATTTAGATAAATTAAAACATATCTCATTGAAAAAAAATAGATTTCAAAAAATATATATTTTGTAAAAGGAATTGTATAAAATAATTTTAGAAATAACTGATAAGCATCCACTACATTCTTTAAATCACCGAAAACAAGGTTGAATATTTCTTGACCCACTTTCTGGGGCTCTCATTTTCCGTATCACTTTCTTCGACTCACTTTCACAACAAACACCGTAGGTGCCGCAGTAGCCGTTGACGGTGCCCGATTGCCGCATGCACTTGAAGCGCGTGAGACAGGTGCCGGTGGTGCCGCTGTTGGTGACGCAGCTGTCCGCCAAGACACTCCTCCGCCTTCCCTGGCGCCACAGGCCAGGCTCCTGGACAGCCAGGCCACTCGTTGTGTCATTCAGCATCTGCGCCTGCGCAAAGGCCAAAAATCCCAGAAGCAGCAGCGTATATCCAATCATAATCCTCGGTTTCACTCAGGTTGTCTTCACCCACGCACTTTCACATCAACTGTTTGGATCTCTTGGGGGTCGCACCGCTTTTATAGCACTTCTTGGACCGAAGAATCCGAAAGATACAGCGGCGCTGGCAGCGATGCGGTGATGAGATTTTCGTGTTAGAAGCAATGGCGTGTCAATATTTGGTAAGAAGCTCGGTTCGTCACTTACCGGGATGAATATTCAAAGCGAGCTAGTTGCGCCTATTAACTTGTTTGCCCATCGCCGATCGATCAAGTCATTGAACCTCGACGAAGTGTCCACAACTCTGATCTTAGATCTGTCAAAACTGGGTTATGTTTGCCAACTGTGTGAGCTTTGGGACGGGGCTTCGAAGTGTCGTGAAGAATGCTGGCTGGCAATCTCATTATCATCGCCACAAATGAAGGTGACGATCGATGGTAACGATGATGATGTCAAAAAGTAAAAAGAGCCATCAAATATCGGAGGGTGTGTGAAAGTGACAAGACCCCAATTAGAGTCGAATTGCACAACACGAATTGGGCAAGAGCTTCGATAAATGCAGTTCCAGCTAAGAGTTCTATTCATAGTAGAGCAGAGTATACGGAAAATGCCAATCAACTGATTGCTGTCAAGAAACTCGCACATTTAACTGATAACAGCGCTGTCAAATGGGTGAACATCAGAACTTATCACTAATCTATGGGTTTTATTGGGATTAAATTAGAATTTGTTGTTTTGGATTCTCGCAGGAGAGTTTGATTACGATAACAAAAAAAGTGTAAGATTTGTTTTATAAAAAATTATAAATCAAATTGTCCCAAATTTACAAAAATTATTTCGAATAATTTCTTAATTTATCTAAAGATTTATCTGTCCAAGGTATCTTTTAAAATCCCAAACTATTCTTTTGCAAATGCGGATTGTTAAATGCGATTTCCAAACAATAGTTTTTTAGACATATTACATAGAATTATCCCTAGACATCACAAAAACACGAAGAATTTAGCAAACCCTTATGTGCACTGATATAGCTCTTAAAATACCTTTCCCCTGGCTAACTAAAAATAAAGAGGCTCCAAATGTTTGCGATTTCTGTCGTCAGAATGCAGGTGCCCCCTTGGGCCATCGCCATCGGAGCGATAAAACCAATCGATCATGGCTGTTGACACTGGAACCTGGACAATTGGTAGCGATAGGAGTGACAGGTGAGATTGCCGGCGGGCCATAAAAAGCCGCCGACTGACCGCTGTGGAGACTCAGAACGATGAAGAACTGCATAGCAAGCGCCCTGCTCCTCCTGGTGGCGGTTTCGGCCATTCAGGCCGCCTCGGTGGCCAAGCCCACCTGCGGAGGCTCCACCTCCTCGAAGAACATTAATCTGGTGAATCCCACAAATCCTCCGCGGGAGTGCGAGTATCACATCAAGGCGTACAGCAAGTACGTTTGCCAGCTGCGCATTAACTGGGGAATGACCATGGCCCAACCCACGCTGGAATCCGATGGATCGGGACTGACCTATGCCGAGTGCACCAGGGACTATTTCGAGGTCAATGGACTGAAACTGTGCGGCACGGAGGTTTGGCAGCACATCTATGTGCCCTTCAATGCCACCGATGGTGAAGCTGTTGTGGATCTGCGCATTGTCCTGGCCGACCGTGCCGGAGCCTCTGGACTGCCTGAGGCCGCCTGGGACATGACTGTGACCCAGCTGGAGTGCCCGGCCGGAGCCTCCGTTCGATCCCTGACCCTGGAGGAGGAGGAGTCCGTCATCGAGGGACGTGCCAGCACCATCAAGGATGGCTTCTTTGTGGCCCCGCCCGGCTGCCTGCAGTACTTCCCCGAGTCCAAGGGCACGGTCAAGTCCTTCAACTACAACAACGGCCAGGGCATCTATCCGGGTCACTTGAACTACGCCATCTGCTTCCGTCGAGAAACAGATACTAAGGGCCTTGTGTAAGTAGAATAACTCGCTGTTTTTCTGTTTAATAATATTTTTAAAATTATTTCTCACTATTAATTGAACAGCATTCGTGCCTATGACTTCAATGTTGGTGATGTGGTCTCCGCCTCCACCATGATGACCGATGAGAACTGCTATAGCAGCGATAGTACCAACGATCTGGATGCCGATTTCCTGATGGTGCCACAGGCAACCTTTGAGGAAAGCCACAAGCACGCCACCTACTTCTGTGGCTCCATTAAGAAGGATGTGGTCATATCGAGTAAGTTTCATAGAGCTTTCATTGGTGGTAAAGCTCAGTTAACACTAGCCAACAAATCTTTAATAACGTTTAAAAAAATCGTTGAAGGTAGAGATTTTAAAATGGAAAAAATCAGACCCAATGTTATTTAAAGGGGAAAACCACTAAGAAACTAGAATAGTTAAAGACTTTATTACTTAATGCACTCGTAACTATTTTTCACACTTTTGTAAACATTTATTAACATAAAATAGGTTTAGACTGTTTTATGTGTACTCCTAAATATTTATACCTTTAAATTATAATGTTATAAATAATGTTATAAATTTCTTCTTTTTAGGCAACAACCCTGGACCTTTGATGGTTCTCTTCAACAGCGACGCCATCTACAGGCAGAATGAGGCTGGTTTTGCTTTCACCTACGTCGTGTCCTAAGCGGTTAAAAATTCTTTGATAATGTAAACTAAACAAAGAATTTGACATTAAAGAGAGCTCTAAAAGCAAGATTTGCACATGTTTGTCTAACCATTAGCGATGGATGAGCCACAAAGAGATCCGCCCGGGGAACGTATTTGGCGCATACAATCATTTGGGACTTTGGGGCTTTCGTTTTCTATTCCCAAAGCTTGCCCTATCAATTACAGATAATTGCGGACATATCAGAACAGCCGGGGTGTCAACATTTGTCTGTGACAATTACCAGACAAGCGATATATTATCTCAAGAACCCGGCCTATCTACATAGGTGTTCAAACAGCGTGTGAGACAATCTATCAAGTGGTTCACATATTATCAGATTCCAATCTTGGCTGAACTTTATCTAAACGCCTGCAAGCTAACCGAGGTGAAGTCGGTTAAAGAAGTTGGTTAAAAGAGTTCTATTATGTTGAAATTCACTTCATATAAAGCTTGAGATCCTTTATCCTGTAAACTTACAGAAAGCTTTTTTACGCTTTTCGGGTAATAATATTTAAGGACCAGCAAGGACAAAACCCAAGCAATCTTTCTTTACATAAGGGTGCTTTCCAAAAAAAAACTTTTTCCATTTCAGACTATCAACAAGTGTTTGCAACCAATTTACTTTGAAGCCGTTCCCCCTTTTCAAAATCATTTACTGCTGATAATCTGGTTTAAAATTAGAAATTGCCTGCTGTTAAATTGATTAATAGCGACTATTAGAATTGGCGTTTTATGAGCGGCGCCAACTCATAGTAATCATAGGCGGCAGAGTCGAATGGGCCGCATTTAAATTCGGTTCATTTGGAGCAATTATTCTTCTTATCAGGCAGCACAACAAGTTGCGGGCAACAAATTCAGCCCAGTGCCCAATTTGCAGCGGAAAGCTTTGTAAAAGCTCGGAAAACCTCGCACTATGGGTCAAAAATCTTTGTACAGATGAAATTAAAAAAAAAAACTAAATGGAAAATATTAAAGTTAGTCATAAGACAAATAAATGGTACTCGTTTAGAATTGAACGTAGTCTGTTTACAAGGTAATAATTCTAGTCGTTAAATTAAAATAAAAGTAGATAAAACTAGAACTCGTTTTTTAAATATTAACTCTATATAGTAAGTAAACTAAGCAAACGAGCAATATCTAGGAAAATATTATTTTGATATCAAAAATATAATACTTTTATTTTAAAAGGGTTTTTGCTAATTTATTCTAGTTATCCTACTTTTCATCTTTCTTCCATGAGCATTGACTCCGACCTAAATACTAAAAACTAAAGTGCAATTTGAGGACCAGCCCTCCAAATTCTTTTTTTATTCGAGAGACTACGCCTTTTGCCCACAGTGCAGTGATAAGAGTTCGAACATGTTACAGCAGCAGCAGCCGGCGTGGCTGCGAGCCGTGTGGCAAGCGAATTTCAGTTGCCGGCGACCATCCGATGCGGCAACATCGCAAGTTTTTCCTCTACGGAACGAAATAACGCGGAGCCTCGAAACATTTTCAAAGCCATTTTCGAAGCGTGTGCGCGAATCGCTCATTAAACCCCCCAAATGGGTGTACAATAAAAAGTTTTAGCTCCGGCCATTGAAAAGTGTGTGCTCTACTTATTCTCTTATTATTTCCTCGAAGCCATTGTCATCGGTTGTGTGCCCGAGTGCGTCGCTTAAATGCCAATTTAAGTGGCAGGCGTTTAATCAAGTCAAGTCCCACTCTCCGACGCCGCCGGTGTCACAAAAGAAGAACCAGAGGAGTCCTTGGCATAGCTTTCCTTTCCTCATTCTGCCCCGTCCCCGCGCACATTCACGAAATTCCCAGTGAAAACATAGCCATAAATTAACAACTAATTCAATTAACTGCCGACAACGTCAACGAGCGCCGCTTGGCTGCAGCGGGATCCTGGGCTAGAAGAGAAAAGCCAGGAAAAGTCGGGAGCCGAGCACTGCATCGCCGCAGGATATGCGGCGGGCTGCCTAGGAGGAATTTCTTGTGCCAGCCTCCTCCACATTCACGGTAAGCCCACTCACAATGGGACAAATATTTCAAAACGCACACATGCGGCTGCTGGGGACCGGAAATTATGAGGCCTGTGTGTTCCGACTTACACTTTCAAGGGATTTTATCTTTTTAGGTTTTCCCATTTATCATACCACTATATTGACATGGCTATGCAAATTTCTCTAAATTTTGGCTTACCCTTCTCTAAAAAAAAGGGGATTTTAGTGCATATTCCCTATAAATTAATATATTAGTTTTTTAACCATTATTAAATATTAAATCTTTTAAAATGTTTCTTCTGCAAAGTAATGCAGTCTTCATTAAAATGTGATTTACATTTTTATACAACAACAGATTATTTAATTTTTATTTAATAACTTTCTCTTTCTGTCAATACAAAATTATAAAATATTTATTTTTAAACCTACATGAAAATTTTTAAACTTTTGTACACTTTTCCCTTAAAGTTGCTGTGTAGTTTCCTGATATAAAATGAAAAGAATACGTGAAAGTGAAAACCCGAGTATGCGTCTCTGACTCTTTTGTATGACTGAACTTGGCACTTGGCCTAAAGAATGAAAGGAATATTTAAGATATGCTCCCAATGGCCAGCACATTATGCAAATACTTGATTGGGGCAAAAACCGCTCAAAGGATTTAGTTTTGGGCCCATCTATTCAGCATGTGAATTGACTTTTGTTCGGCTATCAAATCCGGGCAGCAGCTGCATAAATCAATGGAGCAGCATTTCTCCTTGTTCGTTTGATTTTTGATTTTGGATTTCCAGCTTCATGCTGACGCACGTTGTAAGGCCATAAATCTTGCGATCTGGCCGAAATGTCTTTAATTGTTGAGCGCACAGTACAGACGGCAATCGGCAATCTGCAATCGCCAATCTGCAAATCGACGATGATTTCACAGCACGACGCGACACTATCATTATTGTGCGATGATCATGATATATCTGCCGTCATTTGTCACTGTAACAAGTTGAGCCTGGCGGCCGAAAGCAAACAATTTGCCACCGGCTGAATTCGCTATATGCTGTTAGCCATTTGCCATTAGCCGTTTACGTGGCGCCCGGAATGCAGCGTAGATGTCATAGATATTGTTCCAAGATACATAGGCCTTATATATGTACGATGTAACGGTGGCGTGGGTTTGCATTAGCTTTTACTTTAAACAATAAATTCTGGCGAAGCGCTATCTCTTAGCTGGATAAAAGGCGGGGAATATTTCGGACCAGAAAATTTATTTAGAGGAATATATTATTTCTTGCTGCTTTTTGCTTTGTTTATGTCCACGTGAGCGAAATGCAGCGGCTAATGAGTAAATATTGTCAGAGATAATATACGAGTTTATAGTAGTCCGTTGCATTCGTGAGCTTCCAGTGAATGGATGACTCTCCAGAGATACATATAAATCACAGCTCTCGAGCTGGTAATTCAGGAAGTATCTTTTTCTACTAGAGCAAATACTGAAATCGCTAGGGGTGCAACTTTAAACAGATAAGGCAAAAGGTAATGACTTCAAGCGACTCTAAAGTGTGTTATTTAAATGCCGTAAACAATTTATTTGTTACTGCAGTGAGCATAGGCAAGCGAAAGAAGCACAGGCAATTAAAAATCCATTAAATGCAGAAGCAGAACCAAAACAAATTCATTTAATGCATCAAACTACCTTTTTATTTCAATTACCTTTTTATGTTTACTGAATTTTGATCAGCGGGGTCTGGAAAGCATCATAATTTATAAAAATAAATACGCTAATTGGAATACTATGCTAAATATAACTCGTGTTAGCCCGCATTAAGCCTTAACATTCTTTTGCCTAATAAAAAAAGCAATTTAGACCAACTTATTTATTTAGCCATTTGAGAATGCTTTTCAAAATCATTACCACCTCGCCCAGATGAGTAGCAGGTTATTTTTCTACTCAACGATTTTATTCTGGCTGTTTATTAAAAGCGATTTATGAATGATTTGTGCGATGTACACGTCCATGTAAACACCATCAAAATCATAAAAGTTCTCCCGCAGCTCTCAGCTCCCCCAAATATTGGCCAATTCCGATTCCCCTATTTGTTATCAATTTCCCATCATTTGTGGCTTTGCCCCATTGATTGATACATCCCATTTTGCCGGTTGCCACATTAATTTGCTGTCCGAAAATTACAAATGTCGGATATGGATTTTGTGCACTGATGAGTGTTTATTGTATTAAGCATTTTTCAAATTAATTGCAAATTTTGGCTATTTTGGGTTCAGCGAGCACCGGAATCGCAATTTTCCAGCGCACAAGCTTTTCGCACCGCGAAAAAGTAAAAAAGAAGACAGACAGGTCTAAACAATAACAAACGGCTGGCGCTGATTGAACTGCTCAGTGCACAATTTCAATCAATTTTTCAATTAATTTTCATTACCCCGCGTGCGGCCAGTTTCGAAGTGGGCTCGATGATCAAACGATGATGAGATCGCGCGGCCAACGTCATTGTTAAGGCCAAACTGTCCGCAGGCAAATGCAGGAAAATTAAAATAAATGGTTATGGGACGCGGACTCCATAAAGCATTACAATGCAGGAACATCGGCAACGTGACTCACAGCGCCAATGTCGGCCAAAACAAACAAACAAACTACACAACTTATGCGACGACTCTCTTGCATGGCCCAGTGTGTGCGGGTTCAATTAACGTTGGCCAAAACAACTTGTTCTCGCTCTCAGGAAAGGCCTGGATGGAGCTAGAGCTGGAGTGGCCTTAAAAGGCAGCTTCCAGGCCGAGATGCCCTGGCAATCGCGGCGGCCCAACTGGCAGAAAAAGTTGTTAATTGGAATTTAACAATCTCTAAAAGCGTCTAATGGAAGAGATGCGTGCTTGGCGTCTTGGCCGACTGCCGAATACGCCGACCTGGCCCACTGTGCGGCTACCAGTTTACCCACTCTGCGCTTTATCTGCCGGCAAATGTAGAAATTAAGTTTCGCCTGGCCAGATGGATCCCGGCCCATGGACTGTCAGTATCGTTTACGTGCCGCAGTCAGGCAAAAACAATCAACATCAAC